CCCCCCCCCCCCCCCCCCCCCCCCCCCCCCCCCCCCCCCCCCCCCCCCCCCCCCCCCCCCCCCCCCCCCCCCCCCCCCCCCCCCCGCCCGCCGGCCCCCCCCCCCGCCAAAACGAAATAAAAAATGCTTCATAATGTTGATGAAGAAATGGTAGAGAAGAGTAAAAAAAGAAGGAAAAAATTGTAAAGTAAAGAGTTTCATATTGATGCCAGTGTTTACCGACAACCATTGCAGCCAGCAGGCGAACGGGCGTAGCAATCCCATCTATATGTATATGATGTTGAAAAAAAAAGTAAAGTTTAGTGCTTTCAAGTGAGTGTTGACAACAGCAAAAGAGAAGAGAGAGAGAGAGGTAGCGGGAGAAAAAAATGTGTATGCATGTATGATGTATGTAAGAAACTAAGCTCAGAGAGAAAAAAAAGTGATGAATCTTATACAGTTGTGAGTTGAAAAGGATACAATGTCAAATCCTGCACAAGTCTTATCGAGACATCGAAAAACACCATTACCTCCTGTAGTTCCACCACGTCAAACTCTTCTATCATGGACAAATAGTAATCAAAATGGTAGGTGTGTTTGCGTGTGTGATGACAATTCTATTTTAATTATAATTAACTAATATCAACAATAGGAAATTCTTTTGTTATGTGATATTCAATTGTAAATAGACACGATGAAAACTAAATGATCTCTCGAGAGAAAAATATGTTTTTCGTAATTTTATGTTATTTTAAAGTTTACATAGAGTAAAAAGAAAGTATATGATGTTGGGTAAAAGGTCAAACACATGTGTATTAAGTATTGTTTCTTTTCTTCATTTTAATATAAAAATGATTATTTTGCAAGAATTTTCAATGGATACTTTTTTCCTTTCTCTTACTTAAATATGCTTTTATATACATGCATTAACGTATAATATAAGAAGAAGAAAAAGAAATCAGATGATCAATGAAAATCTGTCTTGTTATGATTTTATATTATGACATTTCATTTCTCATGGAAACTATAGACTATAAGTGAAGCAATCTGTTTGATCCTTGTCGTTTTGAAGTATATCCAAATAGATTTGCCATATCGATATCACTTTACATTTGGTAATGTACAGGATTCAATATAAGCATTAGTATGCATTAAATGTCTTTTTTCATTAATATCTAATCATTGATAATAGATCTTTTCGATAAATTTTTGTCAGAATAATAGATAACAAAATGAATTTGCATACTCATATAAAGGTCGTTGGCAAATAGACTGGTATCATTACTATCGTTATTATCTAGACCGAAAATGCCAATGCGACAACTATTATGACTATGATGCCATTCAAAATGTAAAGCATAAAGCCCACTTAGTACATGGTGAACGAGGGTTGTTCTTTCATACATTTGTTCTTCTGGATCGCTGTATGCCAGCTTGTTTTTCAACCTAGTACATTATGTCATTGTATGCATGGTTTCTTATTTTCTCATATATTTCTCGTTATTGAGACGAAGTAGTAATCATTGACTCGGATCTGGATATATGACTGGTATATCTGTTGCGCCCACTTAGTTTATCTTCTCCTTCTGTCTTTTGCATTCGCTTATGCGATTCTCCGTTCTCTTTTCACATCCATCCTCAATAATTACGATAAAAACAAGAGAACGATGACGTCGATGACGAAAAGGAGAAGCAAAGAACGATAGAATGCACACATTTTACCGTACGCATTCTATATGAAAGAGTGCTCTCCTTGGCGGCAGCTATACGAAGACCAACGCACACATTAAATCCGATCAGTTACATTATTTTATTTATTCAAACAAATTAATTAAAGCGAAGGTAGCAATAGTAACAATACTAATACTAATAATCATCATCATAATCACAACTAAAATATATAATATAGACCGAAGACGGTGCCCCATCGATTTGGATCGTGCTGGTGGCTGGTGGCCAAAAGGTTTGATGATGACGATGATGATAATTATTTGAATTATAAGATAGAAAAGAATGATGATGATAATAATGATCATTACTCATCACCACCAGTCAAGCGTATTAAATTGGGTAAGTGAATTTGCCAATGAAAAACATCTATACAAATTATCTTACGGATCAATAAATCTCTTATATTTAATTTATGCTTAAAAAGGTCTGTCAGATGACAATCCTTTGAGTGATGAGTAAAGATTTATAACGATGTGGCTCCATCTGTTTACTTCATTTTCATATGACATTCATTTCACATCTTTAAATATAAAAATGAGACGGATATACGTGTGTCTCTTAGCTACAATGTCGTCTCTGACGTTCTTATAAATGTATGTTTATCTCAACATGCATGTATACCTACGGTTGGTTGGTCTTTTTTCACATTTTGTGTTCTTTCTTTTTTTCCTGTTTTCTTTTAGTTAATCATGTTTGTCGCCTCTAAGAAAACTTAGAACTAGAAACTATGAAGAAATCATTTCTAGATTTGTCTCTTATGATAACAATTGTGCATGCGATTAGTATTAAATGTAAAACATTAAAAAGAAGCAAAAAAGATATTTTATAAATTAGGAAAAAAGCCTTAATATTGTTGATATGTATTTATTTTTTATCGAAATTGTAATGCTTCAGTAGAAATTACATGTTGTCTTTTGAAATATGCGTAAAGCGTCATATACGAAATACAGGTGTCTATCAATCCTTTTCGTTAAACTGTGTATGAAATAGAAATATTCTTTGGATTGTTAATCGTCAACATAATACGAAAGGCTTCATGATTTTACTCGTTGTATGTTACTAGGCGTTTTTCAGAGTCATATAACGAAATCATTTTTAATCTATTGTGTAGACAAGTGAATGCAATTCATTGTATATATCTGCCATTCAAAATGACATTTCGTTTCTTTTTTTTTACGATTACACGTCGAATCATTCATCATCGTAATATTTATTTATTTGACGTTTAAATGAACGACTATACACAAGTGTTGTTTTTATGTTCGAATCGGCTAGGTGAAGGTCAAGATGGAAGCCTTTTATCCTTCATTAAAAGATTTATTTATGTATGAGAGAGAGAGAGAGAGAGAGCGAGAAAGAAAGCATCAGTATGTTAAGTTGTTTTATCAACGGATTTCGATTAAATGATTTCAAGTATCATATGTCTAAAATCGTTCGAATTTAAAAATGTTATTTTCTTCGTCAACAACTGCTTGATTTGTTACTTCATATGCATATCTAGGGGTGCTCTTAAACGAAAATTTATGCATAAACCATAGCATAACGTATTAAATAAAGATATAAAGTCAAACATTTCAACGTCGGATATATTTCTTAAGTAGACAACAAATTTTTCTTCGTCTTTCTATTTGTTTCTGAAGTGTTCTCGTCTTCTTTTATCATTGAAATTGAAATAGAGGTCGACTGTTAGTCGCTATTGCGTTGTCACATACAACTCAATACGTAATTCGATTATAAACAACAGAAATTCTCATCGTCGATTGATGTTCAGAAAATGAATGAAGCTCACTAAGTTATTGGTGATAGAATAGATTTTTGATTTGGCGAGTCTATCGTTCTATAATTATCTTCATTTGTTTGGGTCAATTTTCTTTTCTATTTCTATTTTTTCTTCTCGGGTTTAATTTGATTATTCAAAAAAACTCTTCTTTATAGATTCTAAAAGCCTATAGAATTGAGAATGCAAGAGGTAGTCTCTAACAGAAAAATAGAAAAACAAGAAGAAGAAAAACAACAGAAACTGAAATGGAGTTTCATGACGAATAAACTTAATAGGGCAATTATCTTTTCTTCTCATCCCTCCAGAGTTCTTGCTTCCCATCTACATTATACGCGCACAATTGATATTTGTCGCATAACAAATTACTTTTGCATGTCATAGAGAGTTTTTGCTTTATATATATATATATATAATATAACTATTGAAAAGGAAAAGGATACTTGAAAATAATGAATCTATAGATTTTTGTCTTTCCATAATTTAAATTAGTTGCTACAGTACCAATCAGGATTTTTTTCTTTTCTCATTTGCCCTATGTCATTGTCTATGACTATACAAACTCAGGTTGTTTTTTGTCATCAAGATTCTTATTATTATTGTTGTCATTCTCTATCTAGTTAAATCTTCTTGTCTTGCTTGGATTTGTCTATTAGAATATGTTGGAATGCAAAAATTTCTATCTGATTAGACTAATGACACCTTGTTGTTATCGAACATTTGCTTTTTATCGATCTAATATGAAATGTAAAGATGATAAAAGGAAGAGATAAAAAAATAGAATATAAAGAGTATTTTCTCATTACTCAATGTCGGTAATCGACATTTTCTTTCGCAAAAAGCTTTGTAGCCGTCATCGTTGTATTATTATTGCGTTCATCCTCGATCATAATTTGTAAAGCTCCTTCTGCTTGGTCGCATCAAGCAATAGTATGAAGTAAAAGCACGATGTAAGCTCTTCTTCTTTTTCTTCTTCTACTTTTTCCTTTTCTTCTTCTGCTTCTTCTTGTTCTGTTTCTCTTCTTATTCTTTTCTACGAATGGCCCAAGCACCAAATAGAAGAGAGAGATAGAAACAGAGACAGCAACAGAGACAGAGGAGAACGGAAACTAGGGGGTTGTTATGTTAGTAGTGTTACTTCTTCTCTCCTTCCTTCTTTCTCCGCTTCGGTTATTCATCTTCGGGCTAGTTACCCTGAGAGTACGTCGGCGACTACTGCTCTAACTCGTTCTAGTGGTATTGGTTTATAGGCGCAACAAAGCGTCCACGCGCCTCGTCCGCACTTTCGATTGCCTACATACAATTCTTTACTAGTTTCTTGCGCCTTCAAATAAAGACGCTCGTTCTTCTATTTCTTTTCC